ACTGTAATAAAGAAAGAAAAAACATGAAGGTTTAAAACAGAGGTGCTCTGTAATGCTGTATCTTATCCCCCACACTAGATATCTGTTTTCCTGTCAGATTGCAATACAAATTAGATTCTGATCCAGCTCCTGCAGCCTGGTGGAGTACTTACTGTACTATTAGTATCAGTTAAAAAATTCTCTTTAACGTTAATTAATACAATTACAGAGATAAGTGGAAGGAGAAAATTAGAAGGCAGAGGAGAAAATGACCTGAAGCCTGGCTTAATAAAAAGTAACCTTACAGAAATCAGTTAAGTGTCACTGATATATTAGAGAGGAGAATTAGATCCCTAATTGACATGAGATAGAGACATGAGGACTTTAGAGAAGACTGTAAAACAGGTGGTCATAGCTAGATTAATAGACTCTAAGGGCAGAGAAGACCAATGTTAGATCATCTATTCTGACCTTTTAATGGCCTATACTGTATTGCAGGCCAATATACACAGTTACCTATCTAGATTTGCTGGTGGAGAAGAAGTAGGTAGGGGAAAACACAGGGCTTGAACTGAGGTGGGAACACCAAAGCCACTCACTACTCACCATTTTTGTATCCAATCTGCCTTAAAACATATCTAAATTAACAAATAACTAATGAAGAGAAGCCCAAACAACATGGGTTTCTTCTTGTGTAGTATAAACATGCTCATTCAAACCATGAATACAATCTGGTAGTTTAATGGGGAATCAAAAGGTAAGGGGAAAAGAGAATAAGAAATGCTGAAAATATCAGCATTCTGTCTTTGGGGCCAGTGCCAAAATCACTTTGACTGTGTGAAGAATGGTAGAATGAGCCCTAGGACTGAATTTAAGAAAAGAAAATGGTAGCTCCAGTCTAGTTATTGAGGTCAATGAGACATTTGCTGTTGACTTTAACAGGAGCACTACTGGGGCACATGGCCTGTCTTCTATATTTCCTTTCACAAATAATTATGTATGACATATTTAGAAAAAGTGTATAAACATATATTCAGATTGGTGACTAAAGCCCCAAACCTGCAAACACTTAAGCATGTGCCTGGCTATTTTAAGGATCATGACATAAATGGAATCAATGTTTTAGAAAATACTACAGTGACTTATAATACTGTAAAACAATGAACAGCTTAAATGTGTATCTGACTCACCTGCTGCAAAGAAAATAGTATGCGTATTATGCTTACCATGAAAAGTTCTTTTCTTTTCAAAGACATTTAACTTACACCTAGTCCATTACAGGACTGGGTGTTACTTACAATGTGGTCTCAGTCTGGATTGCAGAGGATGAAAAGGGAAATTATTTAGGGAAGTTAAAGTCTTTGCCAAAGGTGCAAATCAGCTATGAATATGGCCCATGAAATATATCTTTGATTTTTAACATGTATATTCCCTTTGCTTCTCACTAATGCTTAAAAAATATAAACGGCTAAACAATCTAGAGTCAGTTTCTTAGCTGTGTGGAGATCAGCATCTCTTGATCCAAATCAATAGAGCTATGCTAATTTAAACCAGCTGAAGACTTGGTCCTCAGTTTTCCATAACTTGACACATCTCTAATGACTGTTGTTAGTACAAAAAGTTGGGTTTTGTTATATGCTTGGAAAAGGTTTGCAATTGTAAAAGCATTGTTAAAAGATGCATCCTGGTCAAAGCCTGGACATGTAAAGTTGAGCCTCTCACGTTATTGTTCTCAAACAAGCTGACCTAGCTTACCTTAGTCACGGAAAACTCCCACCAAACAAAACTCTAAATGAAATAATATGCCACTCTTAACTGTGAATTTCCTGGCATTTAAGTATGCCATAATCCTGATGTCATTTAAGTGGTATTTTTAGTTAAATATTTTATAATCTCTCTCCTACATGTTGGTGTGTTCTTCTGCAATCTTCTGTATAAGTACTTCTGTATTAGTAGAAAGAATACTTTTTTTTCTGTGAAAGTTGTTTAGCCTGGCAGGCATCTGACTTACTTAAAGTGGAAGACTGTCCCATGTTTTACTTTGATCAGCTTTCACTCATGGGAAAGTTGCTAAATTTAACTTGATCTAAACTTTCCATTTAATAGAAACGACACTTTCAAGGAAAAAAAATAGGGATCTGATTTAATGTGCAGCTGCAAAATAGTGAAGAGTAAGACAGACAGTATGACATCTGCCAAACTGTTCCAAGAGGTCCTTCAAATAAGTAGGTTATCTTTTATGCCTTTTTATCTCAGTTTTGGTGTTCAGTTGTAAATTATAACAGTTTCTAAACATCTGGACAACCTACTGGCCTTGTTCCATGAGGGAACTCTTTAGGTTTAGAAGAATGAAGTTTTAGCTGTCATTGATGAAACCAAAAAGCTTCACTGGCTATATGCATATGCAAATGTAACTAAACTACTTAAGTCACAGTACATCATATGATAAAGTATCCATCCCTACAGATGGACTCAACGCCACAAAATCTTACACCAAACTTCACAGGACTGGTGTAAGAAGAATAATTCCAAGATCTTCTTAAGTCTATTCATTTACCATTGTTTCAATGAGACAATAAAGAATCAACTCTAACTGGCTTTCTAAATTAATATGAGGTCACACTTATTAGACAGCCTTCTGTCTTAAGAAACTACAACTAAAATAACCTCAAGTTCATTGTCTAAAACCTTACTACCCTTTCTTTGAAGATCATCTCTGCTCAGCAATATTTCCTTTAATTTCTCTGATTTCTTGAGCAGTAGTTTAAGATTTCTTTTTCTATTTGTGCTCTCTCACTGCTTATAACAATTATAAATTCCGAATGCTGCCATGAAGCACTGATAAGTCAGTGTTATGGATTATAATACATCTAGATCACAGACACTTTAAATAGACAGGCAGGTTAGAAAACTAGCTGTCTCTACCCACTTCTCAATAAGTGGCTAGCTTTTTGATATATGTGGCTGGTTCAGATATACATGCAGTAGAGGGCTATAGCAAAAACTTACATTACTTAAAATTCTGCATTACTACAAAATATACATTTATTGATATTCTCTTAGCCTGAGCCTGTCTCCATTCATAATCAATCAATCAATCAATCAAACTAAGTTTGACAAAATAAGTGAAGTCTTTTTGTATTGAAGTTACCTTGATCAATTTCTTGGGTTTTGTCTCGGACGGCCAGAGCCGACTCGAGGTGATTTAGTAATTACTCGTTCGTTGGGCGGGCTGGTGAATAGAGAGGTGGACAAGGCTTAATTGGTTGCAAAACTTTACTTACGCCGCTTGTAGCTGCGACGCTGACGGTCCGGTCGTATGAACAACTATGTTAGTTGTTCCAGCTGGCAACGTCCAGGTTCGCTTACCCGCCAACAAATCAAGCCGGCGGGGCAAGGGTACGTCGGGGATTGCGCTTGGCAGCGGGGAGAAGAATCGATAGGTGATCAGTCTATCGATCAGCTCAGCCGCAAGTCAGATCTCTTTAGAGGCGCTCTGCAGCGTGCTCAAAGTTCTCCGACTTGGGCGGAAGTCACACGAAATTTTAAACGGCCAGCAAGCCAATTCCCAGCCGCCACATAGGAATAATTTAGAACTAGCCAATAGTGGGACACAAATTTGCATTCGAATGGCGGGAACTCTCTTGCACTGGGGTTTTCTGCTGCAACAGAAAACCTTTTACTTTGCAAGAGGCTCTCATGTGGCGGGAAAATTCCATCGTGCCGAGGCACCAAAATCACTGGGTTGTGACAGGTTTCTTCTCTTGCTAATTGGCAAACATCAGTAAGACCATTACCAGTGCCAATTAGTGAAGTCCAGCTACCCTAACTTTGAGGCCAGTTTGTTCTTACGTACATGAGTGTAATTCTTCTTTACTGTCAGAGGAATCGCACTCATTAAAGAGAACAGAACTGGACCATTTTTTCTCTTTATATTTTATAAATTTACAATTTATAATAGTAATAACAACTGTCAGTAAATGATTAGCTGCGTTAAGGTTCTGAGGTGGAAACCCTTCCATTTGATCATTAAATGATCTCTGCTGCTACAAAGGGAGTCACCTCAGAAAGGAAACTTTCAACAATATTTTCGTATGCAAAGCCTATATTTTCAGATCTGTTTGCATTCATTTGTTTCTGCAGTTATTATGACAGATAGTGTATGCAGATAGCTATATACATGTCTTATCAGTCCTGTGCATGAACATTAAATTGCATTCATGCACAACTTTAAACAACCTTTTTCTGTAATGGTAGGTCGAGGGGTCTGCAAAACCTTGGCCTTACAAATAATGCCCTGAAGACAATTTAACTTACTGGATGTTTACTTACACAGAATACAAATTCATTTAATTTTTGGCTAACTGAGCACATTTCTAGTGTAATAAACAATTTAGTATTATGTAGGTGGAAAATTATGCACTTTTGGTCTTTGTCTTAAAGGAAACAACTTTTAGATTTATACTGAATTAATTTATTTGAATGTATCAGCATCTCAAATTTTAAACATATCACAGTTTTGAAAATAATATTTATTATAATCTGTAAAAAAAAGCTGTAACAAACTAATTGATCACCACACACACATACAGATATATGTTAGCTACTTCCAAAATAATGATCCTGACACAAAATAAATATAGCCCAACCCATCAGTCACTTCCTTCCTAAATGCTCAAGATAAAATATCTGACCTTAATCATAGAAATAAACTGAAATATTTGTAAAGGAATTTTTCATCCCTTTGGTAAAAAGCAAGACCCCTATTCAGCAAAGCACTTAAGTGGACTGGGACTACTCATGTACTTAAATTAAGCAGACAGCAGATACTTAAATTCTGTCCTGAATCTGATGCATAATAATAAGGTACTAGACTTCCATGCAGTTCACTTGCGATTTCCCAGTTGGTTTAATAAAAGGTATCGTTTTGGAACCAAGAGGTCTAGTTTTTTGTATGTCTTCTTGTCTCAGACCAACACGGCTGTACACTACTGATGCGGTTCTCTTCTCACTCAACACAGGAACATAGGACTGGAAGAGGTCTTCTGTGCCATCGAGTCCAGTCCTCCTTTGTGGATACCAAGGTGCTTTGCAAAGAGAGGTACATGACTGGTTTGGGATCACACGTGTAGCTTTGACAGGGACAAAAATGGCCCATGATTTTCTGACTCCCAGCTCAGTGCTTTGTACCCTGTTCTCTGATACTTCACTAATAGTCATTTAAAATGTGTAAGGGTCAAATTCTTAGCCTGCCAGTTAACTGGCTGTGTGGTGGGTGCTATCTGCAGAAAACATCAGAGTCACTTCATAGCTACAGTAGTTCTCACAGTTTAACTGGTCCCTTCATAAGGCCTGTCACCTCTCTTCCCTAGTCAGACTCTGCCTTATTCCTAGCAGTCATTCTTATGATACTGTACATAGAAAGCCCAGAGAGTAGGGCATGGTGTGTTAAGAGTCTGTATCCCCAGCATGGGTTCTGTAAAAGCCTGTTTACTCCCTACCATTTGATAGAACTGCCCTTGTCTGACTGTATCCAGAACCCTACATGCCCATAAGAGAGGTTAGTGTTTGCCCTGGCTGTGCTGAGGGTATTAGAATACTTTTGCTTTTCCAAGTATACTTTTTAATTTAAAATCTGCACACACTCATGTTACTTTCATTTTCCTTATGTTTTGTCCTTTACTATCTAGAAAAGTTACTGTACAATTAAAGCCACAATGTAGGTCAGCAAGGACAAGGAACTGAAAATTAAGATTACTCTTCTCCCTTCTAACCGTAACTCACACCTATGATAGGGAAAAGAACTTGGATGAAAAATAAAATTTTAATTTTGATTTTGAATTTCCTTTCCTGCAGGTTGTAAATCTGGGTGGGAGATTGTTGTTATTGAAGATTAGAATTTGTCTCGAAATTAGCCTGTTTTAGCGCTTAACAATGTAAATCTCTATTATCAAGACAAGCTATAAAGTTCATATTTACCAAATAGGTAGGAATGAATGTAACAGATACAATCAATATCCATTATAACCCAGACCCTGCATCTAAAGATGAAATCCATGTGAACGGGGCATGACAAGTATCATAGGGCACATCTACATGTTGTCATATGGCAACATTGCTACAGCGCCATGCTTTAGTACTTCCTTTTGGAAGGAAGTACTTCCTTTTGGAAGTACTAAAGCACGAAGCAGTACGGACGGTTACTACACTGTGTGCATGGTACATGGTTAAATTTCACTGTGCCGCCATAGCATCACGCTATACCTAGGGAGTGTGCTGCTACAATGACATAGTTGGCAATCACATGTAGACACATGTGATTGCAATGTTGCTGGATTGGCACACTACAGCGATGTGTAGATACACCCACAGCGTTCTGTAAGTTTAGTAGAAGAGGGACAGCAGAAGGAGGGCTTTTGCTGTAGGATTTAATAGAAAAATAGGGCTGGAAGGGACTTTGGAAGGTCATCTAGTTCAGCCCCCTGCTTAAGGCAGGATTGTCCTCATCTGAACCATTGCAGCCAAGTGTTTGTCTCACCTGCTCTTTAAAAGGTGTGTTAGTTACTCTGTACACAAAAATGTTGTAAAGTTCCAGCTAAAAATGCATATACACTCCCTCTCTCTGTATTTTACCTGGTTGATTTCAAATGCTTTGGAACCACAATATTAGATCACTGCAGTGAAATGTGGACCTCCAGCAATCAATTTCCCATAGCAAGATGCCCTGAAAACCCCCGTATATGCCATTCAGGTAAGAACCATCTCTATTAAGCAGCTGATTTTTCCTAGTTGCTAAGGACTAAGTTCATCTTACATTGAGGTCAAGAGGAAACTTTTTACTAACTTCAGCAACAACTGAATCAGGCATTTGGGTAGGTAATGCCTTTATTTTTATACACACACAATTCCTGGATAGTCTGAATTTATGACTGCTTCTGACAACAAAAAGCTGTTGCAGGGCTGCACTGATGGAAATGAACTGCTGTTGTGAAATCGATGAGACAAGGTGGCTATAGTTTTATTTCACTTGGGAGGGACAATGCTTTACGGCTGCTCTACTCACAGTAGGGGTATGTAGGGTACAAAGTCTACACTTTCTTGGACAAGCACTACTATAACCAGTTCAGTGTATCCAATGGCTCTGGTTTATATGGTCACTTCTGAGAAATGGATCTTTCATATTCTGGACCGTAACAGCTTCTCAGGAGTCCTCCAGAAAACAGCTTTACTGATTTGTTGACTCAACAGATCATAGCAGTTCCAAACTGACAGTGTTAATCTATTAGGTTAAGCCAGCTGGTGTACAAGTGTTCAGAGTCCATGTGGTATAAACTTCTGAAAGGAGTCAGGAAAAGGAAACAGTGAATACAAATAATTCAACTGCATTTCCTATACCAAACAGCATGGACATTTACTTTAGTACTTTTGTTGTGGTTTTTTTTGCCAAATCTTCCAGAAGCTGTGATGCATATAATAATACTGGTGCCCCAAATTCTGATGTCTTTCATTGAATAAAAACTCCCCTGAAATCAATAGGAATGTTTTGCCACTAAGTCTGGCCCTACACTATTTAAGTCCCATTGAATACCTATGAGGTAGGTAAGTAAGATACTACCCTCTGCATCTCACAGGATGTGTCTACACAAGACTTTTACTGCAGTTGCCTAATTAGCTCTGCAGTAAACATCTCATTGTACACACACGCAGTGGTATTAGAATGGAGTAAACTAATTAACTCCACTTAGGACAGTACTTGCTTTTGCAAGTACTAACTTACAGGGGAGTTAATTAGTGTACTCCATTCTAATAGCACTGCATGTGTAGACCCTGAGATGTTTTCTACAGAGCTAATTAGGCAACTCAGTTAATTAACTCAATTAACTAGGTCCCAGTATCTATAGAGGAAACCTTCTGTACTGCTGTCCTGGACAGTGGGTCGCAGGTAACTATTGTGTTTCAATCATTTTATGACACCTTCCTAAGGCATTTACCCCTCCACCCCCTGTCCAGACTGGGATTATGTGGCCTCAGCCAAGAGACTTACCCCTATTTTGGATAAATTATCATATGGTTAAAATTTCCAGAAGAGCTAGTGGGGGTAAAGGAGAGTGTCCTCATAGCAGCCCTAGTATGTCCTGACCCCAGCTAGATGAAGGGGGCCAACGTGATTGTAGATACTAACTCAAGCCTATTTCACATATTGGCCCAGTTTTGCTGGCAGCAAGCTGGCAAACACTATTTAAACATGCTTCATATGCATGTAGTGTGTGCAGTGGCCTACCGACAGATTGAAGGACAACCCATGGAAATTGGAAACCCACACCCAAATTGGGCCCTGAGCATTTCAATTCTGGGGACTCTCCCCTACCCCCACCGTGGCAGGTGTGGTTACAGAGAGAGCTTAGTCTGCGACAGAAGGTCTTTTCCTTACACAAGTGGTATGTAGGAGTGAAGAGAGTTTCACAAAAGGAGTGAAACATACCATCCGACTCAGTGACACATGACCCTTTTGGGAAAGATCTAGACGTATAGCACTGTTGGAGATGGACAAAGTTTGACAACATCTGAGAGAACTTTTGGATCATGGGATCATTTCTGAGTCCCGGAGTCCATACGTGTCCCCTATAGTAGCAGTGAGGAAGAAATCGTGAAAGATTAGAATGTGTGTAAATTATTGGATCCTAAAAAGTTGGACAGTGGTAGATTAATACACGGTGCCCTGAGTGCAAGACACACTGGATTGTCTATTGGAGAGCCAGTGGTTTTCAGTGCTTGATCTATATAGTTGATACTACCAGATCCCTTTGGCTCTCCAGGATAAGGAAAATAATGCCTTTATTTGCCTGTTTGGGTTCTTTCAGTTCAAGAGGATGCCCCAAGGTATCTCGGAGGCCCCAGCAACATTTCAGTGGCTCATGGAGCATGTAGTTGGAGACATGAATATGTCCCAGGTACTGGTGTATCTCAATGACCTGATAGTGTTCAGGAAGACTCTCAAAGAACATGAAGAATGGCTAATGTGAGTGCTAGATCAACTAGAAGCAGCCGGGCTCAAGGTGGTTTTGGACAAACACCATTTTTGTCAGACCTGTGAGGTATGCGGGGCATATTGTCTCACAGGAGGAAAGTGGCACCAATCCTGATAAAATCTGGGCCATAGCAACTTGGCCACATCCACAGAACTTTTGGGAACTCAAACGATTTTTGAGGTTCACTGGTTATTATCATTGATTTGTCAAAGATTACGCTCAGACTGCGAAGCCACTGAATGACCTCACGCGAGGATTTCAGCATCCTCAAGCTAAGAGAGGTAAGGAAGTGAGTCCCCAAACTCAGGGAGGCAATGGCGATCCAGCCCCACTCCAGGGTCCTACGGGGCCTTTTGGCCCATGGTGGGACCAGATGTGTGAGCATCCTTTTCAGTCATTGATTAGCAGCCTGACCCAAGCCCCAGTGCTAGCATATGTAGATGCTGACAGGGCTGGCTGGGGCACAAGGGTGCTTCAGTGTGGGGACTGCCTGCTGGCTAGCCCTGCACTGAAGTAGTACCCCAGCCATCCCTCTGCAGCATGTTGAGCCAGGTTGGAGCAGCCCCAGGCTGGCAGGCTGACCCCCCAGGGTCCTTTGCCAGCTGGGGCTACTCTGACCCATCTCAACTTGCTGTGGTTCCAGGTATATGTTCAAACATGGCACCCAAAAGCAATAAACTCCTACATGATATGCGCCAGAGTTTATTGCTGTGCATTAATTAAACATGTAGATGTGCCCACAGATAGGAAACTAAGAGAGACAACATAAGAATGTATTGTGCAACCTCAAGAAAATCAAGAGGTAGGAACAGAAGAACCAAATGGGAGAAAATAATAGGAAATAAAGAAAGGACAGAAAGAAGGAAGACAGAACTCAGGGATGCAACTAGGAGAAAAGAGAGAAGTGAAAGGGGGTAAATGGGGAAGAATTAAGGGGATAAGGATAAAGGAGAAGTTGCTTTATTCAGGAAATAGGGAAGAATGCTATTGCTCAAGTGCAAAGCAAAACAGAGCCTCAGAAAGAAAAGACCATATAAGGAGATAAAATAAGGTAGGTAATTTGGAAAGAATA